TCACTGTGTGACTGTATCACTGTAACTGTATCACTGTGTGACTGTATCACTGTGTGACTGTGCGACTGTGTGACTGTATACCTGTATCACTGTTTGACTGTATCACTGTTTGACTGTATAACTGTGTGGCTGTATCACTGTGTGACTGTATCACTGTAACTGTATCACTGTGTGACTGTATCACTGTAACTGTATCACTGTGTGACTGTATACCTGTATCACTGTGTGACTGTATACCTGTTTCACTGTGTGACTGTATCACTGTGTGAGTGAATCACTGTGTGACTGTATAACTGTATCACTGTGTGACTGTATCACTGTAACTGTATCACTGTCTGACTGTATCACTGTGTGACTGTGCGACTGTGTGACTGTATACCTGTATCACTGTTTGACTGTATCACTGTGTGACTGTATACCTGTATCACTGTGTGACTGTATCACTGTGTGACTGTATATCTGTGTGACTCTATCACTGTGCGACTGTATAACTGTGTGACTGTATAACTGTGTGACTGTATATCTGTGTGACTGTATTACTGTGTGACTGTATAACTGTGTGACTGTATATCTGTGTGACTGTATATCAGTGTGACTGTATCACTGTGCGACTGTATAACTGTGTGACTGTATATCTGTGTGACTGTATCAATGTGTGACTGTATAACTGTGTGACTGTTTAACTGTGTGACTGTATCACTGTGTGACTGTATCACTTTGTGACTGTATATCTGTGTGACTGTATATCTGTGTGACTGTATAACTGTGTGACTGTATAACTGTATCACTGTGTAACTGTATCACTGTGTGACCGTATACCTATATCACTGTGTGACTGTATAACTGTGTGACTGTATATTCGTGTGACTGTATCACTGTGTGACTGTATATCCGTGTGACTGTATAATTGTGTGACTGTATATCCGTGTGACTGTATCACTGTGTGACTGTATAACTGTGTGACTGTATATCCGTGTTACTGTATAATTGTGTGACTATATATCTGTGTGACTGTATCATTCTGTGACTGTATACCTGTTTCACTGTGTGACTGTATCACTGTGTGAGTGAATCACTGTAACTGTATCACTGTGTGACTGTATACCTGTATCACTGTGTGACTGTATACCTGTATCACTGTGTGACTGTATCACTGTGTGAGTGAATCACTGTGTGACTGTATAACTGTATCACTGTGTGACTGTATCACTGTGTGACTGTATATCTGTGTGACTCTATCACTGTGTGACTGTATAACTGTTTGACTGTATCACTGTGTGACTGTATAACGGTGTGACTGTATATCTGTGTGACTCTATAACTGTGTGACTGTATCACTGTGTGACTGTATAACAGTGTGACTGTATATCTGTGTGACTGTATTACTGTGTGACTGTATAACTGTGTGACTGTATCACTGTCTGACTGTATCACTGTGTGACTGTGCGACTGTATGACTGTATACCTGTATCACTGTTTGACTGTATCACTGTGTGACTGTATACCTGTTTTGCTGTGTGACTGTATCACTGTATATCTGTATCACTGTGTGACTGTATCACTGTGTGACTGTATATCTGTGTGACTCTATCACTGTGTGACTGTATAACGGTGTGACTGTATATCTGTGTGACTCTATAACTGTGTGACTGTGTGACTGTATCAATGTGTGACTGTATCACTGTGTGACTGTATATCTGTGTGACTGTATCACTGTGTGACTGTATATCTGTGTGACTGTTTAACTGTGTGACTGTATCACTGTGTGACTGTATCACTTTGTGACTGTATATCTGTGTGACTGTATATCTGTGTGACTGTATAACTGTGTGACTGTATACCTGTATCACTGTGTAACTGTATCACTGTGTGACCGTATACCTATATCACTGTGTGACTGTATATCAGTGTGACTGTATAACTGTGTGACTGTATATTCGTGTGACTGTATCACTGTGTGACTGTATCACTGTGTGACTGTATCACTGTGTGACTGTATCAGTGTGACTGTATAACTGTGTGACTGTATATCCGTGTTACTGTATAATTGTGTGACTATATATCTGTGTGACTGTATCACTGTGTGACTGTATCACTGTGTAACTATATCACTGTGTGACTGTATCATTCTGTGACTGTATACCTGTATCACTGTGTGACTGTATACCTCTTTCACTGTGTGACTGTATCACTGTGTGACTGTATACCTGTATCACTGTGTGACTGTATCACTATGTGACTGTGTGACTGTATGACTGTTTCACTGTGTGACTGTATCACTATATGACTGTTTACCTGTATCACTGTGTGACTGTATACCTGTGTGACTGTATCACTGTGTGACTGTATATCTGTGTGACTGTATATCTGTGTGACTTTATGACTGTGTCACCGTGTGACTGTATACCTGTTTCACTGTGTGACTGTATATCTGTGTGACTGTATGACTGTGTCACTGTGTGACTGTATCACTATGTGACTGTATAACTGTGTGACTGTATAACTGTGTGACTCTATCACTGTGTGACTGTATACCTGTTTCACTGTGTGACTGTATCACTGTGTGAGTGTATCACTGTGTGACTGTATAACTGTATCACTGTATGACTGTATCACTGTGTGACTGTATCACTGTGTGACTGTATCACTGTCTGACTGTATCACTGTGTGACTGTGCGACTGTATGACTATATACCTGTATCACTGTTTGACTGTATCACTGTGTGACTGTATACCTGTGTGACTGTATCACTGTATCACTGTATATCTGTATCACTGTGTGACTGTATACCTGTTTCACTGTGTGGCTGTATACCTGTATCACTGTGTGACTGTATATCTGTGTGACTCTATCACTGTGTGACTGTATAACTGTTTGACTGTATCACTGTGTGACTGTATAACGGTGTGACTGTATATCTCTGTGACTCTATCACTGTGTGACTGTATCACTGTGTTACTGTATCACTGTAACTGTATATCTGTGTGACTGTATATCTGTGTGACTGTATCACTGTGTGACTGTATAACTGTGTGACTGTATATCCGTGTGACTGTATCGCTGTGAGACTGTATATCTGTGTGACTCTATATTTGTGTGACTGTATAAATGTGTGACTGTATATCTGTCCGACTGTATAACTGTGTGACTGTATCACTGTGTGACTGTACCACTGTTACTGTATCACTGTCCGACTGTATCACATTGTCACTGTATCACTGTAACTGTATCACTGTGTGACTGTATCACATTGTCACTGTATCACTGTCTGACTGCATCACATTGTCACCGTATCACTGTAACTGTATCACATTGTCACTGTATCACTGTGATTGTATCACTGTCTGACTGTATCACTGTGACTTTATCACTGTGTGACTGTATCACTGTGTGACTGTAGCACTGTGTGACTGTTTATCTGTGTCACTGTATAACTGTGTGACTGTATATCCGTGTGACTGTATATCTGTGTGACTCTATAACTGTGTGACTGTATAACTGTGTGACTGTACATCTGTGTCACTGTATCACTGTGTGACTGTATCACTGTAACTGTATCACTGTATGACTGTATCACTAACTGTATCACTGTGTGACTGTATCATTAACTGTATCACTGTCTGACTGCATCACATTGTCACTGTATCACTGTAACTGTATCACATTGTCACTGTATCACTGTGATTGTATCACTGTCTGACTGTATCACTGTGACTTTATCACTGTGTGACTGTATCACTGTGTGACTGTAGCACTGTTTGACTGTATAACAGTGTGACTGTATCACTGTGTGACTGTATATCTGTGTGACTGTATCAATGTGTGACTGTATATCTGTGTTACTGTATCACTGTGTGACTGTATCACTGTGTGACTGTTTATCTGTGTGACTGTATAACTGTGTGACTGTATATCCGTGTGACTGTATAACTGTGTTACTGTATCACTGTGTGACTGTTTATCTGTGTGACTGTATATCTGTGTGACTGTATACTGTGTTACTGTATCACTGTGTGACTGTATATCTGTGTGACTGTTTCACTGTGTGACTGTATCACTGTGTGACTCTACATCTGTGTCACTGTATCACTGTGTGACTGTATAACTGTGTGATTGTATCACTGTGTGACTGTATCACTAACTGTATCACTGTCTGACTGCATCACATTGTCACTGTATCACTGTGTGACTGTATATCTGTGTGACTGTTTCACTGTGTGACTGTATCACTGTGTGACTCTACATCTGTGTCACTGTATCACTGTGTGACTGTATAACTGTGTGATTGTATCACTGTGTGACTGTATCACTAACTGTATCACTGTCTGACTGCATCACATTGTCACTGTATCACTGTAACTGTATCACATTGTCACTGTATCACTGTGATTGTATCACTGTCAGACTGTATCACTGTAACTGTATCACTGTCTGACTGTATCACATTGTCACTGTATCACTGTAACTGTATCACATTGTCACACTGTATCACTGTGTGACTCTACATCTGTGTCACTGTATCACTGTGTGACTGTATAACTGTGTGATTGTATCACTGTGTGACTGTATCACTGTGATTGTATCACTGTCTGACTGTATCACTGTAACTGTATCACTGTCTGACTGTATCACATTGTCACTGTATCACTGTAACTGTATCACATTGTCACACTGTATCACTGTGATTGTATCACTGTTTGACTGTATCACTGTGACTTTATCACTGTGTGACTGTATCACTGTATCACATTGTCACTGTAACTGTATCACTGTCTGACTTTATCATTGTGACTGTATCACTGTGTGACTGTATAACTGTAACTTTATCACTGTGTGACTGTATCACTGTATCACTATATTTTTGTATCCCTTTGTAACTATATCAATGTCACTGTATCACTGTATTACTTTGTCACTGTATTAATGTGTCTTTGTTTCCCTTTCTTATTGTATAACTATGTCCCTGTGTTCCACAGGTCATATTCTCCGAATAATGTAATGAGCTTTGTAAACCTTTTTATTCCACTGCTTTTTTCATCAAAACCAGTTTGAAATATCAGATAACTCATTCATACACATTTACATGTTAATACACATTTACAGGCTTATTGCAGTGAGAAAACAAAATTAAGAGTTGAGATGACCCAGCACAGAATCATGAGCATCAGGCTTCATATACAGAGAGAGACTGTTAGAGCTCTGAGACTAGACTCCTTTACATCTCCAGTCCACCGCAGCACCGTAACCACGTTCCACTCTCACTCCACCTTTGTTTTTTGTTTTTATATTGAATCCGCCAAACATTGTTATATTGGTGTCCCATTGTTTGTTTTCACATTGTCTTATCACAATGTTGTGAAACCATTAACTCCTCAGTTATGTAAAGTTTGTGCCCCTCAGTGTTTCTTCTTCAGGTCTTGTACAGTTTGTTGATCACCTTGTCAATTTAGTGCCCCCTAGTGTTCATACTGACTGTTCAACCATCTTCAGTCTTAGTTATTTAAAGCCGCCCCTGTTAGTGTTTTGTGTCTTCCTCTGTCTTCAGCTCTTGTAGGGTTTATTGATTATCTTATCAATCCATCGCAGGAACCTGCTGACACGTGTGTACACTCCAGGAAACGATGGGTTTCCACATCCATGACCCCATGAGATCACCCCCGTCAGTACCCAGCGGCCTCCCTCCCCCTGACAAACCAGAGGACCCCCACTGTCGCCCTGGCAACTGTCCACACGGTGGCGCTCTGACAGGCTCCCTGCACACAGCATGCGTCCTGTGAAACGATCACCATATTTCTTTTTACACCTCCAGGCAGGAAGCAGAGGAACCCAGGCGTGGAGCAGAATCCTGGAGTATTCTGAGTCTGAAACATATAACATGTAAAGGTGTTCACATGTCAGGACAAAAACATGTAATAACTACCTGTGATGGAAGTGTGTTAGTTACCTGTGTAGGTGTAACATGTTACCTGTGATGGAAGTGTGTTAGTTACCTGTGTAGGTGTAAGATGTTACCTGTGATGGAAGTGTGTTAGTTACCTGTATAACTGTGTCACTGTATATCTTTGTGACTGTATAACTGTGTGGTGTATCACTGTGTGACTGTATAACTGTGTCACTGTATATCTTTGTGACTGTATAACTGGTGGCTGTATCACTGTGTGACTGTATCACTGTAACTGTATCACTGTGTGACTGTATACCTGTATCACTGTGTGACTGTATACCTGTATCACTGTGTGACTGTATCACTGTAACTGTATCACTGTAACTGTATCACTGTGTGACTGTATACCTGTATCACTGTGTGACTGTATCACTGTAACTGTATCACTGTGTGTGACTGTATACCTGTATCACTGTGTGACTGTATACCTGTTTCACTGTGTGACTGTATCACTGTGTGAGTGAATCACTGTGTGACTGTATAACTGTATCACTGTGTGACTGTATAACTGTGTGGCTGTATCACTGTGTGACTGTATCACTGTAACTGTATCACTGTGTGACTGTATACCTGTGTGACTGTATCACTGTAACTGTATCACTGTGTGACTGTATCACTGTGTGACTGTATACCTGTATCACTGTGTGACTGTATACCTGTTTCACTGTGTGACTGTATCACTGTGTGAGTGAATCACTGTGTGACTGTATACCTGTATCACTGTGTGACTGTATACCTGTATCACTGTGTGACTGTATCACTGTGTGACTGTATCACTGTGTGACTGTATACCTGTATCACTGTGTGACTGTATACCTGTTTCACTGTGTGACTGTATCACTGTGGAGTGAATCACTGTGTGACTGTGCGACTGTGTGACTGTATCACTGTTTGACTGTATCACTGTAACTGTATCACTGTGTGACTGTATCACTGTGTGACTGTATCGCTGTGTGACTGTATCACTGTAACTGTATCACTGTGTGACTGTATACCTGTATCACTGTGTGACTGTATACCTGTTTCACTGTGTGACTGTATCACTGTGTGAGTTAATCACTGTGTGACTGTATAACTGTATCACTGTGTGACTGTATCACTGTAACTGTATCACTGTGTGACTGTATCACTGTGTGACTGTGCGACTGTGTGACTGTATACCTGTATCACTGTTTGACTGTATCACTGTTTTGACTGTTATAACTGTGTGGCTGTATCACTGTGTGACTGTATCACTGTAACTGTATCACTGTGTGACTGTATCACTGTAACTGTATCACTGTGTGACTGTATACCTGTTCACTGTGTGACTGTATACCTGTTTCACTGTGTGACTGTATCACTGTGTGAGTGAATCACTGTGTGACTGTATAACTGTATCACTGTGTGACTGTATCACTGTAACTGTATCACTGTCTGACTGTATCACTGTGTGACTGTGCGACTGTGTGACTGTATACCTGTATCACTGTTTGACTGTATCACTGTGTGACTGTATACCTGTATCACTGTGTGACTGTATCACTGTGTGACTGTATATCTGTGTGACTCTATCACTGTGCGACTGTATAACTGTGTGACTGTATAACTGTGTGATGTAATATCTGTGTGACTGTATTACTGTGTGACTGTATAACTGTGTGACTGTATATCTGTGTGACTGTATATCAGTGTGACTGTATCACTGTGCGACTGTATAACTGTGTGACTGTATACCTGTATCACTGTGTGACTATACCTGTATCACTGTGTGACTGTATCACTGTGTGAGTGAATCACTGTGTGACTGTATAACTGTATCACTGTGTGACTGTATCACTGTGTGACTGATATCTGTGTGACTCTATCACTGTGTGACTGTATAACTGTTTGACTGTTCACTGTGTGACTGTATAACGGTGTGACTGTATATCTGTGTGACTCTATAACTGTGTGACTGTATCACTGTGTGACTGTATAACAGTGTGACTGTATATCTGTGTGACTGTATACTGTGTGACTGTATAACTGTGTGACTGTATCACTGTCTGACTGTATCACTGTGTGACTGTGCGACTGTATGACTGTATACCTGTATCACTGTTTGACTGTATCACTGTGTGACTGTATACCTGTTTTGCTGTGTGACTGTATCACTGTATATCTGTATCACTGTGTGACTGTATCACTGTGTGACTGTATATCTGTGTGACTCTATCACTGTGTGACTGTATAACTGTTTGACTGTATCACTGTGTGACTGTATAACGGTGTGACTGTATATCTGTGTGACTCTATAACTGTGTGACTGTGTGACTGTATCAATGTGTGACTGTATCACTGTGTGACTGTATATCTGTGTGACTGTATCACTGTGTGACTGTATATCTGTGTGACTGTTTAACTGTGTGACTGTATCACTGTGTGACTGTATCACTTTGTGACTGTATATCTGTGTGACTGTATATCTGTGTGACTGTATAACTGTGTGACTGTATACCTGTATCACTGTGTAACTGTATCACTGTGTGACCGTATACCTATATCACTGTGTGACTGTATATCAGTGTGACTGTATAACTGTGTGACTGTATATTCGTGTGACTGTATCACTGTGTGACTGTATCACTGTGTGACTGTATAACTGTGTGACTGTATATCCATGTGACTGTATCACTGTGTGACTGTATCAGTGTGACTGTATAACTGTGTGACTGTATATCCGTGTTACTGTATAATTGCGTGACTATATATCTGTGTGACTGTATCACTGTGTGACTGTATCACTGTGTAACTATATCACTGTGTGACTGTATCATTCTGTGACTGTATACCTGTATCACTGTGTGACTGTATACCTCTTTCACTGTGTGACTGTATCACTGTGTGACTGTATACCTGTATCACTGTGTGACTGTATCACTATGTGACTGTGTGACTGTATACCTGTTTCACTGTGTGACTGTATCACTATATGACTGTTTACCTGTATCACTGTGTGACTGTATACCTGTGTGACTGTATCACTGTGTGACTGTATATCTGTGTGACTGTATATCTGTGTGACTTTATGACTGTGTCACCGTGTGACTGTATACCTGTTTCACTGTGTGACTGTATATCTGTGTGACTGTATGACTGTGTCACTGTGTGACTGTATCACTATGTGACTGTATAACTGTGTGACTGTATAACTGTGTGACTCTATCACTGTGTGACTGTATACCTGTTTCACTGTGTGACTGTATCACTGTGTGAGTGTATCACTGTGTGACTGTATAACTGTATCACTGTATGACTGTATCACTGTGTGACTGTATCACTGTGTGACTGTATCACTGTCTGACTGTATCACTGTGTGACTGTGCGACTGTATGACTATATACCTGTATCACTGTTTGACTGTATCACTGTGTGACTGTATACCTGTGTGACTGTATCACTGTATCACTGTATCACTGTATATCTGTATCACTGTGTGACTGTATACCTGTTTCACTGTGTGGCTGTATACCTGTATCACTGTGTGACTGTATATCTGTGTGACTCTATCACTGTGTGACTGTATAACTGTTTGACTGTATCACTGTGTGACTGTATAACGGTGTGACTGTATATCTCTGTGACTCTATCACTGTGTGACTGTATCACTGTGTTACTGTATCACTGTAACTGTATATCTGTGTGACTGTATATCTGTGTGACTGTATCACTGTGTGACTGTATAACTGTGTGACTGTATATCCGTGTGACTGTATCGCTGTGAGACTGTATAGCTGTGTGACTCTATATTTGTGTGACTGTATAAATGTGTGACTGTATATCTGTCCGACTGTATAACTGTGTGACTGTATCACTGTGTGACTGTACCACTGTTACTGTATCACTGTCCGACTGTATCACATTGTCACTGTATCACTGTAACTGTATCACTGTGTGACTGTATCACATTGTCACTGTATCACTGTCTGACTGCATCACATTGTCACCGTATCACTGTAACTGTATCACATTGTCACTGTATCACTGTGATTGTATCACTGTCTGACTGTATCACTGTAACTTTATCACTGTGTGACTGTATCACTGTGTGACTGTAGCACTGTGTGACTGTTTATCTGTGTCACTGTATAACTGTGTGACTGTATATCCGTGTGACTGTATATCTGTGTGACTCTATAACTGTGTGACTGTATAACTGTGTGACTGTACATCTGTGTCACTGTATCACTGTGTGACTGTATCACTGTAACTGTATCACTGTATGACTGTATCACTAACTGTATCACTGTGTGACTGTATCATTAACTGTATCACTGTCTGACTGCATCACATTGTCACTGTATCACTGTAACTGTATCACATTGTCACTGTATCACTGTGATTGTATCACTGTCTGACTGTATCACTGTGACTTTATCACTGTGTGACTGTATCACTGTGTGACTGTAGCACTGTTTGACTGTATAACAGTGTGACTGTATCACTGTGTGACTGTATATCTGTGTGACTGTATCAATGTGTGACTGTATATCTGTGTTACTGTATCACTGTGTGACTGTATCACTGTGTGACTGTTTATCTGTGTGACTGTATAACTGTGTGACTGTATATCCGTGTGACTGTATAAACTGTGTTACTGTATCACTGTGTGACTGTTTATCTGTGTGACTGTATATCTGTGTGACTGTATACTGTGTTACTGTATCACTGTGTGACTGTATATGCTTGTGTGACTGTTCACTGTGTGACTGTATCACTGTGTGACTGTATAACTGTGTGATTGTATCACTGTGTGACTGTATCACTACTGTATCACTGTCTGACTGCATCACATTGTCACTGTATCACTGTGTGACTGTATATCTGTGTGACTGTTTCACTGTGTGACTTTATCACTCTGTGACTCTACATCTGTGTCACTGTATCACTGTGTGACTGTATAACTGTGTGATTGTATCACTGTGTGACTGTATCACTAACTGTATCACTGTCTGACTGCATCACATTGTCACTGTATCACTGTAACTGTATCACATTGTCACTGTATCACTGTGATTGTATCACTGTCAGACTGATCACTGTAACTGTATCACTGTCTGACTGTATCACATTGTCACTGTATCACTGTAACTGTATCACATTGTCACACTGTATCACTGTGTGACTCTACATCTGTGTCACTGTATCACTGTGTGACTGATATAACTGTGTGATTGTATCACTGTGTGACTGTATCACTGTGATGATCACTGTCTGACTGTATCACTGTAACTGTATCACTGTCTGACTGTATCACATTGTCACTGTATCACTGTAACTGTATCACATTGTCACACTGTATCACTGTGATTGTATCACTGTTTGACTGTCACTGTGACTTTATCACTGTGTGACTGTATCACTGTATCACATTGTCACTGTAACTGTATCACTGTCTGACTTTATCATTGTGACTGTATCACTGTGTGACTGTATAACTGTAACTTTATCACTGTGTGACTGTATCACTGTATCACTATATTTTTGTATCCCTTTGTAACTATATCAATGTCACTGTATCACTGTATTACTTGTCACTGTATTAATGTGTCTTTGTTTCCCTTTCTTATTGTATAACTATGTCCCTGTGTTCCACAGGTCATATTTCCGAATAATGTAATGAGCTTTGTAAACCTTTTTATTCCACTGCTTTTTTTCATCAAAACCAGTTTGAAATATCAGATAACTCATTCATACACTTTACATGTTAATACACATTTACAGGCTTATTGCAGTGAGAAAACAAAATTAAGAGTTGAGATGACCCAGCACAGAATCATGAGCATCAGGCTTCATATACAGAGAGAGACTGTTAGAGCTCTGAGACTAGACTCCTTTACATCTCCAGTCCACCGCAGCACCGTAACCACGTTCCACTCTCACTCCACCTTTGTTTTTTGTTTTTATATTGAATCGCCAAACATTGTTATATTGGTGTCCCATTGTTTGTTTTCACATTGTCTTATCACAATGTTGTGAAACCATTAACTCCTCAGTTATGTAAAGTTTGTGCCCTCAGTGTTTCTTCTTCAGGTCTTGTACAGTTTGTTGATCACCTTGTCATTTAGTGCCCCCTAGTGTTCATACTGACTGTTCAACCATCTTCAGTCTTAGTTATTTAAAAGCCGCCCCTGTTAGTGTTTTGTGTCTTCCTCTGTCTTCAGCTCTTGTAGGGTTTATTGATTATCTTATCAATCCATCGCAGGACCTGCTGACACGTGTGTACACTCCAGGAAACGATGGGTTCCACATCCATGACCCCATGAGATCACCCCCGTCAGTACCAGCGGCCTCCCTCCCCCTGACAAACCAGAGGACCCCCACTGTCGCCCTGGCAACTGTCCACACGGTGGCGCTCTGACAGGCTCCCTGCACACAGCATGCGTCCTGTGAAACGATCACCATATTTCTTTTTACACCTCCAGGCAGGAAGCAGAGGAACCCAGGCGTGGAGCAGAATCCTGGAGTATTCTGAGTCTGAAACATATAACATGTAAAGGTGTTCACATGTCAGGACAAAAAACATGTAATAACTACCTGTGATGGAAGTGTGTTAGTTACCTGTGTAGGTGTAACATGTTACCTGTGATGGAAGTGTGTTAGTTACTGTGTAGGTGTAGATGTTACCTGTGATGGAAGTGTGTTAGTTACCTGTATAACTGTGTCACTGTATATCTTTGTGACTGTATAACTGTGTGGCCGTATCACTGTGTGACTGTATAACTGTGTCACTGTATATCTTTGTGACTGTATAACTGTGTGGCTGTATCACTGTGTGACTGTATCACTGTAACTGTATCACTGTGTGACTGTATACCTGTATCACTGTGTGACTGTATACCTGTATCACTGTGTGACTGTATCACTGTAACTGTATCACTGTAACTGTATCACTGTGTGACTGTATACCTGTATCACTGTGTGACTGTATCACTGTAACTGTATCACTGTGTGGACTGTATACCTGTATCACTGTGTGACTGTATACCTGTTTCACTGTGTGACTGTATCACTGTGTGAGTGAATCACTGTGTGACTGTTATAACTGTATCACTGTGTGACTGTATAACTGTGTGGCTGTATCACTGTGTGACTGTATCACTGTAACTGTATCACTGTGTGACTGTATACCTGTGTGACTGTATCACTGTAACTGTATCACTGTGTGACTGTATCACTGTGTGACTGTATACCTGTATCACTGTGTGACTGTATACCTGTTCACTGTGTGACTGTATCACTGTGTGAGTAATCACTGTGTGACTGTGCG